AGTTTGCTGGAGTGCTCATCTCGATACCATCATCCTCGAGGATGATTGGGTCCCCTGCCGAGCCGCTACCGTTCTTTATTAACGTGGTTTCCTTAGCCTTCGTTTTTCCAAGGCTCTTGGAGGAGGACCTATGCATGACCGCCGTCAGTACCACTCGGGCGATGCTCTTCAAAGGTGACTTACGCGCTTGGGGTTCGGATTGTTACTCTTTGACCTTCAGCCCGTCCGTCCAAGGTCGAACTGTGATGACTGTTGGATGTTCGTAATCGCTCATCACGACGAAGACAAAGGAGACTCATTCACCGCTTCTCCGACGCTGCTGTTGCAAGGTTCGCCCTATTTATATCCTCGGTTCTGCACGTCCTGACGTCAGCCCTTTGTCCTCGCACCAACCTCTAGGCGCTTACCGCACAGTCGTTGCCACTCCATTTTCCCTCGCATCATTCGCAGGCACGTGCGTCTGCGTACCCTGCAACTGTTTCACAAGCTGCACCGTTCCTGCTATCAACTCCCGTCATGGCAACTCCACAAAGAAACATCGCGCACAGATTCAAGATCGACCTCTCTCCGAAGCTCCCAATACTCCCTGATGGGTAGTGTGGACAGACCCGTGAGCGCGCGAGCGTAGTCCGCTCCAAGGTGCAGGGTGGGCTGTTGTCGGGGTGGTGGTGGGACATGCATCGCTGGGATTGGGTAGGAAAAGTTTAGCCTGAGGGGCGAGATACCCGCTGGTGTACCTAGGGGCAGACTCGGTGGATGGTAGGTCGTAGGGTTTATGGTCCTTGCAGTGTCATCGGACGAATGCTGGTTCAGTGGATTGCGAGTGCGAGTGTGGTTCATTGTTGGCGTTGATGAGCACGACACGAGGACTGGGTGCGATGGGGCGATGCGAGATAAAGCAAGCTGAGAGAAAAGTGAGAAACACGAGGACTTAAGTATGAGCGCCAGCATACACGTGTTAGAGGGCTGCACATCGTGATCGTGTAGAAGCGCCTAGGTACAAGCCTACACGCGGTTCATCTATCTTTGTGAGTCCTTCCAATGTCCTGTACCTTTGGGGATATGCATAACGCCGTGCTTTGTACGATCCAGCGACAACGCGTCGAAGCGCGCCGCGATCAGTTGCCAGAGTTGCCTCGCGTTCCTATCTGGTCAATGCAATGCAAGGAACCTGGTGTGCGGCTGCGAGCGTGCCAGTGGAGAACTGACATTATTGGCTTAGGACGTAAAATCGACAGGTACTACTAGCACAGGAATCTACAGGGGCAAACATATTGACCTGGCGCCGCGGCGGTGGCAGAAGCTCTTCGCATAGAGGTCAGGGGATAACGATTCTAGTCGACTCAACAGCCCCCAGGACGGCGTCCGGACAGCCAACGATGCGAGCGAGCGGTCATAATCTGCAGCTGTACGTGCCCCAAGTATGTCTAGGACCTGTGAGTCCACATTTTATAAAGGCGATGACAGATATGTTCAAACAAGAAACCAACGAGTAGACGATCGTGTCGCATCAATCCGTACTTGCAAACGGCGCAAGACCATGTCAGGGTCCCGACCACGACCGAATCTTTTTGCCCTCTATTATTCTCCATTGTCCAGACAACCTGGAAGGGAGAGAAGAGTGGACTTCTGTCCATCGAATAATGCCACGCTTGCGTTGCCGCGCCCAGAAACGTGTCATCCATCTCCCTCCGTGGTTATATCTGTGCGCAAAAACAGCGCTACCCAACATACCCTTTGCAACTGAGACTCGCTGGCATCCAGGTTTCCCAAGTCTGAGAATTTCAGCTTCGGTATTGAACATATCGATTCGATAGCGGCTGTTTCATGTTGTCTTCGGTGTATGAGAACACGACAAATTCGTCGGCCTGCACGGCACATCGGCTCCCAAACGGCACAGGATAAGGTTTCCCGGCTGCGACGGCAGGTAGTTAGCAGGGCATTTGCTGTTTTTTCCCTGTTCTTGATGACGGCGTGTATCGTTCGTGCCGTTTCATTGGAGGCACATAAAGCGAGCGTGATGGCAGAGGGACGTTCCCTTAGCACCCATCGACTCCCCCTTCCTCTCCGCGACAGGTCGTCCATATGCCCTACCAGGGAAAAACAGAGGCACAATGTTCATCTGCCGGTCCTGCCCAGTCTGCTGCCCTGGATCAGTCTCGGGTAAGTGTCGTAGCAGACCTCATCGACCTGGCAACTGTGACCCACGTTTATCCTTGTGCTTCGTAGAATATCCGGACTGATCTCGCCGGGCAGTCAGAGGGTGTGGATCCCTTAGCGTTACACGCGCGTTCAGCGGTCCTGACACCCGGCCTCCTGGAGGCACTGTGGCAGGCCAGGCTCGAGCTCGCCATCTTCGAGTTGGAACGCAGAGCGGTAGGTGGTTGCGGTCCTCTCAGGAGACGTGCCGGATTTGACCCATGCCATCACGTCCACATCACTAGCTTCCGGTGTTGAAGGTATTCAATTATGTGCCATCGTCGAACATGAGCCGGCATCGTGAGGACGGCCGTTCACACGTGCTACGAAGGTAAGGTGTTGTTTTATATTTCGGTTTCTGATCGAACGTCCGCTGAACGTCTTCGATAGCCAACCTGAAGCACATTCGATGCGAGGGCGCCCCAGGTACTCTGACCGCGCTGATAGCATGGCTGTGACGCTGATAGGTGTTCCTTCATATCAATAGCGAGGTCCTCGACATCCCAATACAGCCTCAGGTGGCAGAGATGCCGCCGGAAAGACGCATCGAACAAACACACGGTGGTCATGTCGAGAGGTTCCCTTCGGGTGATGCGCCGATTACCACCAGGCCAATCCAAAGACTCGAAATGCGCCGCTCATGGTTCAAATGGAGAGGGCCACTGCCCGCCAAATTTCAGCGAGTTCCCGTTGAACTGACATGTATATTTAGTGACGAGTTTTACATTACATCGGTCCAGGGGTACGTCCCATACAACCATCTTATAATGCAAGTGACAGCAAACAAGCAGAACCTTCTCCAGGTCGAAAGTTCGGGGTATCAAGGTACCTGCAGGACAATGGTGTGAGTATGCATTTTCATCATGGAGATGAAGAGAAGCAGGATCGAATCAGAGGTGTCAATCTCTGGAGCACGCCCTTTCACAAGGTATTCTCCTTGAAGAAATTCAAACCATTTGGTTTAAAAGCATCATAGATTTGGAATATCAAGAACCTTACTCACCTCGCAACCGGCAACTTCGCGATAATTGAGTGAACGGCGAGCGTCCAAAGAGCAAAAAATAACTCAGAGGTCCACGTCGGATGAGATTAAGCCCCATTGAGTTGAAGGCGACCGGAAAGGTAACACCAACGATCGCATAACTCTATCTATGAGCAACGAAGAGCTAGCCATCCATCAAACAGCTCAAGCGCAAACATGCTCATATCTTCGCATGAATACGCCGGTGATAGAGCCGTTCAACTTCAAGCTAGCGACAGAGTGGGCAAACGGAACTGGCCCCGTGCAAACGAGACCGAGTAAAATCGGCTTCGCCCGACCTATCTCACCCCCCTCAACAAATTTGAAGCTGGGCGCTTTCCGTTCCGGGTGAGAAGGTGGCGCTCTGTGTCTCCGGGGACTTTCCCCACAGCGAGAATGCGAAAGCTAGATGCTTTCTGTGCGTGTGCTGCGACAGCGATCTTTCATACGACGCGGGTGACAAAAGCAAGTAAAAAAAAGTTGGTTATAAATGATACACATATCTGAACTCCGATTGAAAATGCCGAGCAGCCGAACAGAATGCACAAATAAGTTGCACTGCTTGATCATCCCGATGCTGTCATCCACCACCACATCCTGACTTATGAGTTCGACAGACTCGCAAAGTAACGAGGGTGGAAAACCTGAGAGCTCTCCAAATGCCCATCCTCCGCCCCCACAGAGGCGAATCCCTGTGCAGACACCTTGGCTATCTTTGACTCGACAACCGCCCGGTTTGTGCTTCACCACAGCATGTGAGCGGCTTCAGCCTAACAGACCCAATACGAACAGGGAGAGCTCCTAACGGTATCGACGAGAGATGCTTCACATACTGTTCGCAGACTTCCCTTGGAAGAGCCGAAGGCCGCGAACCCAACTGTCGCACAATATGTCTCCGCAAAGTCTTCCCCCACGAACTGACCACTTTCATATTTCATGGACGGACGGGGCAGAAAAGGCAGGAAACTAACCATTTCCCCCTCCCCCCAGAAGGTCAACCTACAAGTGAACATCACTTAGATGATTTTGATTCACCCTCCACATCCGATGACGATACGAGATACTGGGAGGAGGGGTGGTATCTCTGGACAAGTAGAAGCCGCTGGGCTGCGCAGGAGAAACTAGGCCTGATGTCGCACAATCTTGCGTCTCAGGATAATTGGCAGCGCTACAAAGATAATTTTGAACGGCGGCACGAGGCGGAGTGGGAGGAGAGGCGACCACAGGGTGTCCCGACTGCTCGTGGTAACCCTGGGTTCTTTCGGATTGAGATTGACAGGGTGATGACCAGTCAGACACTGCCTCCCGAGCGGCCGGAGTTTCCTTGGTGCGCAATTATTACTGGATTCTGTAATCTAGGAATTGACGGTGGTCGGTGATATAGGCACAGTTCATGGCTCACGCCACTTCCCCCACCACTCGCCCCGCTACTTGAGCCTATACGCAATCTCCTAGCTCCGACCTTCAAAGCCATGGATATCTTTGGTCAGAGCATTGAGTCTGGCTCCCAGCGAGACTTCGCTCTTCGCATGTGGGAGAAGGCTCGTTCGCCGGAACCTTTTATTTTGGCACGCAACGTGTGTAGGAAGGTTTGGGAGAAGTGGAAGGAGGGGCCACCAGACTCGGATGCAGAGCCAGATGTATAGTTTACAACTAGATACCTTAATTCACTTGGTCATGTAACATACAGTAGATATGGGATGTGTGGTAGAAGGATACACGTTTAAACCACTGGAAGACAGATTGAAATTTTTTTTTTTACAAGAAAACAAAATTTTTCTGACACGAGTGAGATTCGAACTCACGCCCTTTCGGACTGGATGCTTTATTGTGTAGCCTGATTCCAGCGCCTTAGACCGCTCGGCCATCGTGCCTTGCAACTGTTGTGTCATCGTAATACATCATTCACTACGGTCTCCCCGTCAATGCGATAGGGAAGTGATTCGATTAGTGGACGTTAGCACCCTCTACCATATCACGAAGATTGTTTCTGACCCACCAAAAGCTTTCAGTGTGCATTCAAAAAACAACAGGCAAGTGACGTAGTTTTGGGGTGAGGGAGTTGAGAACCTTGAGAACGCTAACACCAACTTTTGGTCGATGGCTTCGCCCCGAAGGAATCTAACTTGTGGTACCCCTCGCTTGGAACACGTTTTTTCCTGACACGCTTCGACGGTGACGCAGTTCCGGAGGACTTTGTAGTGACATCTCATCCAACTTGGATTGCCTCATGCCCGTCATGATGAACAGGACGGCAGCATATAGACAAGGCCATTGCATAGTTTCACGAGTCTGGTGTAATTAAGACTGGGTCAGTTGGGTACCAATTGGAGGTAAGCAGGTGCCTCAGCGTACAACTTTACGCCAAGCGCAACGAATTCTTCAATGCCGTTTCACCTTCCGTTGCGGAAATCGAGGGTATTACCAAGGTCTCCGTGGTCGCGCATCCTGGTGTCCAAGGATCTCGAGGTGCATCGACCGATGACTTGAAGGATAATGTAATTTAAATCCTTCTCTTCGACTGCGTGGGGGCTGTTAGGACTACGCCCAGTATTCCAAAGTTCGTCTTGTGATCGATGCTTTCTCGGTAGATGACTAGGTTCCTCCCGACGTCTCGAGGAGAGCTATGGCGGAAACTTTGGACGAGACTTTGGAAAGGTGACCTGGGAGGGATACGAGGATAGTTTTTGGGAGAGTCGAGTAATGCAATTTTCAAAGCCGGAAAGGAACGGCCGCTGAATGTTCACGCAGGGTGGTTGCGGATGTATATCCAAGTCTGTCGTTGGGATACATAAGAGTCGAGGAGGAGCGAAACGTACAACAGCAGCGGTGGGCTCAATTACACCATCCCACAATATTATGAGCTGGGTAAACTTCTCCAAGTGGTCTCAAGCTTGCGTGCGGGAATCGATGGAAGTTTCCTGACATTGACACTGACAGCAAGATTGGCTGATGCGGCTCTCATGAGGATTACTCAGCGGTACGCTGTGAAGCAACACGGGCCGCCCACCAAGCCCATGGTAGAGAATATTACTTGCATCACAAAATTCGGTGGATTTTAAAATTCTCTTAGCACTCGACAAGCTTGTGGAAGAATCAGGCTGCGAGTGTGTGAGTAACGCATATCTGTTCCTGCCACATCGACACCATCATGAATATCGTGTGTCATGCTCGGCGTGCCCTGCACAACTCGTTTCTGCAAGGCTCCTTGCACTTACAAGCCTCATGCTCGAAGCATTGCATTGGTCGCGTTCATCCCAGAAATTTACTCAAGTCGATACCGACACGGACTAGAGGGATATCATCAGTCTCTACGGCCCCAGCTCAAGCGTTCGTATTGATCCGCACACCCTTGCGCCTCGCTCACACCTAAAACCATAGCCAACAGGATGCTTCGTACCCTCCACGATCCATCCTTATCGTCAACAAGCTCAGGACAGAGCCAGTCATATATGCGATCGACGAGCTTCTCCGGTTCGTATTTCCTCATAACCAACTCCCTCTGACTCTCATCGCGTGGTAGACATCTAAAAAAGACGTACCCAAGTGTCAAAGTGTTCGCAGAGGATCGACCAGACATCCCTGAAGGAGCAAAGGTTTGGCGACCGGGTCCACAGTCGGAGAATATAGATCTGGTGGTTACTCTCGGAGGAGATGGGACCATCTTGCATGCAGCATCGCTGTTCAGCCTCGGAGCCGTCCCACCGGTGCTGAGTTTCTCTATGGGCACCCTAGGGTTCTTGCTGCCTTTCCGTAAGTTTACCAGTGTCCTGCAGCACGCTAAGACTAAGCACATCGCTTGGCACAGACATAGACGATTTCGCAAAGGGTCTTGAGGCTGTCTTCCAGGGAAAGGCAACTCTATTGAACAGAATGCGCCTCTCGTGTACCTTCTACGATAAAGACTCGCGTAAGATAGGATCAGATGGTGCGTCTTCCAAACCTGAACATCACCGCCATCGTGCCCTGACCATGCAACCTGTTTCGCGGCATCAGAGTGGCAAGTGATGAACGAAATTGCGCTGCATCGTGGTTCGAGCCCTCACCTCAATACCATCGACATCTACGTCGATGGTCAACATCTGACGGAGGCAGTGGTATGTGTTACTGACGTACTATCAAACATGGGTTGATGTTGTAGTAGTCTGATGGCGTGATCGTGTCCACGCCTACAGGCTCGACCGCTTACTCGCTCTCGGCGGGTGGGCCGATCGTGCACCCATCTCTGAGTGCTGTAGTTCTCGTCCCCATATGTCCCCGGAGCCTATCTTTTCGCCCACTCGTATTCCCGTCATCGTCTTCTGTGACTCTGCAGGTATGTCCTATCTTGGTCTCCGCAGCCGCTTGACAGTATGGCCTTATCGTCCTTGGTTCTCAGATTAGCGACCGCAGCCGTGCTGCAGCAGGTGTTTCAATGGATGGGCGTGTGTCTCATGTACTCAATCCGGGGGATTCAGTCACAGTGCAGGCATCGCCCTACCCAGTTCCGTGCATTAATCGGTCATCCATCTCTGCTGATGGGGAGGGGCGGCAAGAGGAAGGTGTAGGGCCAGGAAAGGAGGATGACTGGGTCAGGGATATCAATAATTTGTTGCAGTATAACGCAACATTCCGGAGTAAGGCGCTCCTGAGGTATAGTCGCAAATAGGCGGCCCCCTCGCCACTGCAATGATGATATAATTTCTGTGGTTCTTCCATGTTTCTGCGTAGTCACGGCCTTGGGCTTCCAGGTGGTCTGTCTGAATCATATTGACAGCAAGTTTAGGGATGCATTACCTTTGGCAACTTCCTAGCTGCCGAGAAGGTAGTGCAGGCGCCTTCCAGTGACCGCGGAGTTCAAACCTATCAACGCCCAGATGAGTCGAGAAACTGTGCAGTGGGCTTCTCCTATGTACTGCTGTGACTTTCACTCTGATGTAGCGTACTCAGGCGTGAGCGCTCGAGTATCGGATCCAGTAGCACAGACCCAATCACCACAGCGAATATTGGGCAGCGCCGGTGTGAACCCTCAGACCCTTACCCCACAGGTGCCTTATGAACTCTAAGATATACAGCAAGGTCACGATTTCATTCGATCTTGTTGTCGATCATATACGATACATCCCGACTGGCAGATCTGACTGTAGATCTCAAATACTCTTCACGATAAAATGCATATGGATACAGTAGAATTGCAAGTGTAAGAAGATACATAAGATCATTGCATGATACATCGAATTCAAATGAAGCTCTTGGTATAGTTCTAACAGTGGTCTCCACAATGACCCAGGGTATTGTAGATCGTCCAGAGGACTCGAAAAAGTTATTTGTACACTGAGGACCCATTCACATATCTAAAATACTACTAGCTGCCCAAAGAATCTTGGAGCTTTTGAAGTAACCGTCGGGGACTCAGCTTCCCTCCAGCTGGCCCAGGTGTAGGGGAGCGAGACCGCGAGTCTCTATACGTAGGGTGTGACGATGCCTTTTCGTCGTACGTGTGGTTATCAGGTTCCCGATACGGAGGTGCAGCTTCACACTCGCTCGCGCCGGTGACGGTGATACTGGGAATGACAACGGCGGTGTGTATGTCGACGACTTCGTAGCGCGATAGATGCAAGATTATCTTTGGCCACGCGGCGGCGGTAATCCCGACAGATTGTCTGTGACTTCCGTTGATAACGTTCAGAGACAACGTGATAGCGGAGTCTTGGAGCCGCTTTAGCGATGGAAATGCCTCCCGAGCAAAAGCAAGTGCTTGCTGCAGCCGATAGGTTAGAATGTCACGCTAGTGCGGGGGGAGTGCCAAACTGACCGGGTAGTTTTGTGCTACTGGAACGTACATCATATTTCCCTCGTACCGGTAGGTGACGATGTCCGGTTGAACCACGCCATGGCGAGGGGAAGGTTTGTGTTGACTCGGAGGCATGGTTGAGTAAGGGATGATTGTGGTGTGTCAAGCTGATGTGCGTTTGAGCTGGGTGGCCTGTTGGGGGACAGATTCGGACCCATGGTGTACGATTATATAGACCCACAGACGCGCCTCAGCTCCGAGTCGCAACGTGAACGCGAACAGCTTACACGTTAGCAGAGCTGCACTGCCTTTTCTTGTCATCGCACCACAGCGCCCGGGCCAGTGCCACGCCACAGCACTGACCTGAGGCTTGGAGCCAACCTTCCATATTTGGATTCCCGCTTCCAGAAAAACTAAAGGCAGTTGTGCAGCAAACAGTGCTGTATCCATTGTCAAGTACGTGGCCATAGAAATAAATATTGATAGCCCATTATCAAGCACTGAGGCGCGTTTCGAACCAGTTTGGGACAAGAGATGCATTGTAGCACCAAAATACAAAATGATTTCTAACTACCATTGTTCTCAAGCTTCCTGGTCGACGAGCAACGAAAACAAACCTGGCCCACTTGTCTTCGCTCCATTGTGGGTCGCTTTGGAGACTGCCTTATTCTGCTCCGACTTTTGTTTCCTCGTCTTCTTTTGTTTCTCCACCCCATATGCGTCCTCTAGTGATGGCATACAGGCTTCCCACAAGCCCGGTGGGAGCGCATTCGCAGGCAAAGGGGTAGTTCCAGTCAGGTATGAATGAAATTCCACCCCAGAAAGCGCCTCAACGTTGGCTGGCACCCGTTCCGACAGCAAGAGCACTTGCGATAAGAGTTGGATCGTTTCGATCGCCATCAAGACCTGGGCCAATAGCTGTATGTTTCGATCAGTTATTGGCACGTTGGCATCGATGTTATCTGAGCGCTCCGCCGCGCCATCTCGGGTCAACGACGTCATGTAGAATGTAAGGAAAGTGCGAGCCTCCTGGCGTGTCCACCTCTCTTTCTCCCTCTCCTTGTTCATACCGCTCTCTGCAGCACGAAGATGGAGGATATG